TTACTAAGCACCACGCCTCCTGTCAACACTGCGTGCCACAGCGCTAGGGGTTGAGGATCTTCAGCATCAACAACAAACACTTGGGCATTCTCCAAATCTAATTGGATGCAGTGGGCCCCAAGATTGAAGGCTGTTTGTTTTTCATGCTCTGTGGGTGCCGGAAACCAAAGCACAGATCCAGTGATGCACCTTTGGATACAAGAAATGTCCATTTGCTGGGTGACCATTTCATCATGAAGAGAAGCCTTGGATGCTTATTTTTTCCGTTTCTGATCGTTTTCCTCCATTTTTTTCCTGTACTTTTGTCTTTCTTCTTCGGGGGTACTTCCGAAGGCAGCAAATAACCATCTTCATCGGCTTCCACGCGTCTCTTCATGGATGCTTTGGCCAACCGTTGGCAAGCTTCTTGCTTTTTCTCGGGCAAATCGTGGTTTTCAACCGGGGCGCTCCCAGCTGATGGATTGGCATCGCGCACAGCTGCTTGCAATGATTGCTTCCTCTTGCGCAGCCATGCAGCTTCTGAAGGAACATTTTTTTTTCCTTACCCACGATCCCGTTGTCGAGACGAACCTGTCGCCCTTGTTGCTTACCTTTGCTGCTCCATTTTCGGCCTGAAGAAAACAGCAAACAAGCATCCCTGATGATGGACTTAAATTCCTGCTCGTCGCCTTTGAATGACAAAACTTGCAGTGACCGGCGAAAGGTCTGATGTCCGACCCGTCACCTCCCCTTTTGAAGGTGGCAGCGGTCCAGTTGCGAGAAAGCTTGTTCCACCGCAGAAGAACTTGCCGTAAAGCAAAAGTAGGCAGAGACCACCTGTCCAAATTCAAAAACAAAATTTCAAAATATTATTATTGGATGATTTGTTTCCTTCTTTTTGGCCACCAAAAAACGACGCCATACAGTCATCAAACTAAAAACGAGACACTGGCTCCAGTTTCTGTAGTGGCCACTTGGTTTTGATTGCCCTTGCCATGGCCCATTGCCAAGCTTCACGATTTGAACACCAGGAACTTTTCGTGTGGGACTGAGCAATGCGGAAGACTTGCTGAAATTCGGCCAATGTATTTTGGAAATCCACGTTCCAAACTTGACATAGGCATTGCAAAGGTTCATGTTTTTCATCTGAAGAAGGGCACCCATCTCCAAGCTGAAAGACTTTGAAGGACATGATGATGTCGAAATGGGGAACTTCGGCTTTCACAGCTTCACGGGCGACCTGGTAACATACCCTCACATGACTCAAGGCTTCCGCGCGGCTTTCTGCTGTAATTTTCAAAGCTCTGGCATGGCCTTCCCCAAACACAATGAGCACTTCTGGGCTCTGCAGGATATCCATGCAATGCTTGGTGAAGCATTCTATCTCAAAGCACTTGCTGTGGTCAAAGAGCACCTGGAAGGGATTGTCATTTAACTAAAAGAATTCGTAGCTTTTAATGTCTGTTTTTGGCACTGGAATAATCATGTGGAAACCTGGCCTTGATTTCCGCCAGGAACATGGACACCTGTTGGTTCACCTTGGCAATGTCCATATAGATTCTTTGTCAAAGAAAGAATCGGCACAAATCTATTGCTGCATGGCTCATGTCAGCCATCATGGCTAACACGAGGAGCTTGCTTGCAGCCAGGCTCTTCAACCACTGCTTGGCCCACTGCACGCCAGATATGGCAATTTTGTTGATCGTGGTCAACATTGGGGCCAAATGTAGGCAGAAACGAGCCAATGGCTTGGAAAATTGGCAAAATCTGTGCTTTGCAGCGCTGATGACAGTGCCAACTGGCCAATCACCCATATAGGTATGCGAGTGGTCAATCTTTTGACAGATGCTTGAAGATCCGCTGATGGTATCCTGCGAAACATTTTCCTCACTTCAAAATAAAATATCATTTTGATAGACAATCAAAAACTTGATTCACATTTTATCATGAAAACAATATTTCTTTCTAAAACCGTCCTCGAGGATCCGTGAAATGAATGGGCTTGATTTCCATGGCCGTTCGATGACGCGGCCACAAGCGTGTGCCCTATCCCGCCCGACCAACCGGCTGTTGGGAAAAGTGCACTCAACAGGGAGGTTCCAACCTTCACCTGTGAAATCTGGACGTTTGCCCCGAGCAAGATCCTGAGCCAAGAGCTCGGCTGAAGCGCAATCCGTCACTATCATCTCGCACTTCTCCTTCAATGCTGCGAGCAGCTCGGAGTCCACCTTCGGCCCTGGGCCATTGAATCCCCGTGGAGCTCCAGAGTGCTCGGTGCAAAATTCCTTAGGCTGCTTTGGTCGCATTGTGGATATCAATGGCCTTCTTCACAATGCAAAGCTCTTCACAACCAAACACGCCACTGAGAACTGAGAAGTTGCTCAAAGTGGCCCGGAAGCGGATCTGCAAGCGTCCTTGCCTCTCATCTCGGATCAAGACCAGAACTTTGGCAGTTCGCAGCTGCTTGCGCCAATGTTGCAACATGCATTCCGAGAGACACCAACGCATCAAGTAGATGCGGTCTGAGGTCCCATGTCCATCCCGGGCACTTTTGCCATCCCTGAATTGTTAAAGGCACTTCCGCCACTCATCTTCTGGCGGGCCCAAAACTTCAATGGACGAAGCGGCGAGAGCATTCTTTGCTGCGGTGTCCGCAAAGTCTTGAACAGCAAGTTCATGCAATCGAGACTTTGCATGTCTCACTGGCGGTCTCATTCGCCGAAGCAAAATGCTCAAAGAAATTTAACATGTGCCAAATGCTAGCAATTTGTGACTGCTTTGCAGCAACGATGCAAAATCATTGAGAAGGTACCGTCGACAGCACTCGCACCCAACGGCAGCCCGAGGTTTTTTTACTTTCCCGTCCTTGGAGACATTTTTCATGCAGCAACTCAGCCATGTTTGCGCATTTGGGCCACTGATCGTGCAACTTTTGCGCAAGATCTTGCCTTTTGTAAACCAGGAACATTTCCAACATTTTTTCCAAGAAAATTTCGCAGCATACCCATCTTTGTCCGTGACCTACATAAACAGTTGGTATTGTATAAAACTGTTGTCTAGTAAGTTACTGTCATTGTCATGTAACAGCATATGAACATGAAACTGTTGTAGAGCCACTGGTGAAACAGCTGCAAAGAACATTCACAATGACAAATCATCACAGCATGTGCTGCAAGGACATCTGGCTCACCTGTTTTTTGTTTCAAATCTTGTTGTTTCAATTTCGATGATATCAAGTTCTGTGGAAAAATATTCCTTCAAATTTGCTCGAAACAAAATAAAGCAAGACGTTGCAAGACATTGACTTTGGCCTAACCCCGTTGAAATGTTATTTTCACACTGCCGGTCTTTAATATTTATTATGTTTGTCCAAAATCCTGTTCATAACACACACACATATAATATATATATATATATATTCCAATGCCAACAGAGGCTGAACGACTCCAGCTGCTGAATGCCATTTTGCCATGAGCGACCTCAATCTGTCATCGCAATGTACGTCGGGATCCAGCAGACGGAGCTCTGAAATTGAAACAATAATAAATATTTGAAACCATGATGCTTGAGAGTGAAAATGAATTGTTCAATTTAAATTTTCTTCTGTCTGAGAAATAGACCTGAGGACCATGATTTCCAAATCTGCTGTGGAATCCCTGCAGCTAAAGTACAATTTCAAAATCTGCTGTTGATCACGGACTGTGGCTGAAGCGCCGCAGTGAGGTTCCAACCGGTCAACTGCTCAAGCCTCTCTCCATGCAGCCAATGCCATGTCCAGGGCGTCGGCGGCCGCAAGAAAGTCCTCACCGGAGATGTCGATGTGACGGCAACGATCGCAATTGCCGCACTTCTTCAATCTCGATCCACACCTCAGAGAGTTCCGACACGTGGATCATGTCGAACTCTTGGACCAGGATGTCAATGGGTATTTGTGACGCCGCACTCTCTGCCTTGGAGTAGGCACCCACCACCTTGCGCAGAAGATGCGCAAAAGCCACGGAGCGGTGAACGCCCTTCTTGCAGAAAGCCACAACTGTCAACAATGCGGAGCGGTCCGGGTTGGCACTGCACTTCGCCCAGAGGGTCCGCCTCACTCGCTTCAGCCCTGCCCTTGTGACCTCTTGTTTCGCCACTCCTTTCATTGTTGGAGGGCAGGAACCAAGATGCCGGCGCAAAGATCTGTCGTGTTCCGGATCATCTGCTGCCCTCAGGTCCTCGATGATCACTGAGTCGTTGCCCGTTCGCAGCGCGTCCATGAACTGCAAGACCTCCAGCAAGGCGAAAGTGTTGATTTGCTTTGCATATGTGCTCCCCTGCTGATGCAGCCTGCTCCAAATCCATGATGCCGCAGGTCACGATTCGAAGCTTGCAAGTGGGAACCTGAGTCTCACGCAATGGATGTGGCACAGGTAGATTTGATTTCTTTGCGACCTTTGGCAACATTGACGGTGGGTTCTTGTAGGGTCTGCCTTTCTCAGCTGCGGGGGGCTTGCTGAGGGCGACAGGCGGTGCCTTGTAAGCCAACGACTTAGGCTGAGCAGGGAGGTTCCAACCTTCACCTGCAGTGGCTGCCAACCTCTGCGGCAACTGAGCTGCCAAAGCGTCCCAAGGAAAGAGTCACGAACCACAGGCTCTCTGCATTGTCAGGAGGCTGGTCGCAGTTCCGGAACCATTCCCCCTGCTGCAGTTTATGTTTCGAAGCCAGTCTGTTTTTTTTCATTCTGGGCGTGCCACTGCAAAGTGGAAGCTGTAAACTGGATCTTCACTCCTGCTTTGGCTTCTTTTAAGTCCGTGGAATTGGGAATTGAGCACCCGTGAGGGAAGTCCTTGAGGAAAAACGCTTGGCCCCGGCCACACGCTTTGAACCGCTCGAAGACATCAATGTCCTGGTAACCGGTGGCCTCAAAGGACTCGTCATAGCCGCCCATCCTCATGAAGTTCCCTTCCATGACTTCCAGTGCACCCTGAGTCCCAGACATTTCCCGCACGCCAGCCCCACATAGGAGAAGCGTCGCTGAAGTTCACCTCTTAGACAGGGATGTGATGAGATTGTCCCAACAACCATCAGGAAGGATGTTGTCGGCGTCGAGATTGACCAACATGTGATTTCTGGGATTGCCGGCGCCAATTGTTGGATCAAAGCTCGCCGGTGTCCTGATGTCATATTGCGCTGCAAAGCTTTTGGGATCCAATGGCATGGCCTTGCGGCATTGCTCCGAGAGGTTCCAACCTTCACCGGCCTCTGGCGTTGGAATTGTGCAACCTTGCTGCCATGGAGTCAGCAAGGCACACTTGTGTGCCAGATTTTTCATTTTCGAGGAATGAAAAACTGGGGCAGACGCCACATAGACTACCAAGCTCCCTGATGCAAGCTCGTGGTTGCAATTGTGCTTCAGCCACTGAATGGTTTCAAAATAGTCCTTGCGGATGGCTGTTTTGGCCTGTGTGCTGAGATCGTTGCCGTCCACCTTGTACAGGACGACGACAAAGCGGACGGAATAGCCCAATTGCTTCCGGCACATCAGAAGATTGATGGCTAAGCTCAGTCGTAATTGCCATCCTCGTCCAAATGAGACCTGACAGAAGCTGACTCTGACTCCGTGTCTCTGACGCTCCTCATAATCAGCCTCAGTCTCCCAATTGGCCAACATCTGCTGCACTTGGGTCTCCGGTAGCTGGCAGTTCAATCCTCTGTCGTTACAGGCCTCTCGCACAGCATCCTGGGCACGCCTCATCTGAATGCTGTTGGCAAATTCCTGGTAACGGAGTTGCCGTGCCTCTGCAGGGGCAGCATCCGCCGAAACCGTGAGGGGCTGTTGGCCGCGGATATCCACCCTTAGCACCGACGATATTGGAAAGGGAAAACATATTTTAAAAAAGACATGTTTCCCAAAGCATACTCAATGGCAATGTAAAGACGCTACAACAACTAATTATTAATGAACAAATAATTTTAAAACAAATTTTGCCAAGGAACCGGAGTGCTCGATCTGCGGACAGCGAGTGCTTTTCTCCCACCTTTTCCTGAGCGTGAACACTGACAACATCTTTGGGCCTGCGGCGTCTGCAGCCTCAGTTTTCATAGCAGGGAGGCTCCAACCATCACCTGCAACCTTGGCAGGGGGTTTAGCTTTTGGTTCCGCTGCTGCTGGCCGCCGCGGAACAGCCTGGGAAGCCTTGGCAGCTTGGGAAGCCTGGGCCGGAGGCAACTTCGGCTGGGCAGGCAGCAAAATTGAGGGAGGCGCTGGACCTTCAGCTGGAGCTTCGTCGTCGACTGGCACTGACTCGAACCCATCGTCCGAGTCTGAGCTTGATTCTGATTTTTCATGCAATTCGTAAATCACATGTTCTTGTTCCTCATTGCCGGGATCCTCAGGCTTGGTCTCGAAATCTTGATCACTGTCTGCATCATAATCTGCGTCGTCATGAGGAAGAGTCCACTTCTTCTCAATCTTTGTCTCCTCATCATCCTCAGCCTCTTCTTCCTTAACCTGATCCGTCTCCTCTTCCGTTTTCTCCTCCTTCACCTGAGCGTCGGGGCGCCTCTCTGCAAACATCCCCTTGCGGTGGACAAAATTCATGATATTCAGATTGAGGAGTTTCAATTCTCTATCTGGAAGAAACGTCTTGTACTCATCCAGGACCTGGTCATGGCAACATTTCGCTTCCGGACCCACGAACGTCAGGCGGCCATCTCTCACATGTGGGTGGCCTGGCACATCTCTTATCCTGTGTGTGCATTGCCCCTTCGGAATCTGAAACTGACGCCATGCAATTTGCACCACTCAACCTGGTGTTTGTAAGTAAGTCCAGGCAGAACATTGATGTCAAACGGCACCCACCGGTAGACCATCTCGTCCTCAGGATTGAACTCAGTTGGTCTGTCCGTATCCATCTTCTCAGGGTTCGGTTGCCGGTGCGCTTTTGCTTTGGCCTTCTGCAGTGCGGCTTTGTCCTTGGCGGCCGTCTGGCTGTAGCCTTCGGCGGTGTGACTGGAGCTGAGGTGGCCTTGGTCGGTGTGACTGGCGCCGCCAAGTGGTTGGCATTGCCAAATTCAAAATCAGGTGTCGCCGGAGCCCTCGATCCTTGACTTGCTTCAAACCCCGGTGAGAACGGTGACTGATGTAAGCCAGGTGGGGTGCGACTTCGACCTCGATGATCCTGATACGTACCTGCAGTGGCTGGATGCCACTGGTAAGACCATAAACGGTTGCACCAGTCGTAGTGCCAGTGTATCCAGCCTGTGGCGGTTTGCTGCCACTGCCCGTGCATGGCTCAGCACAGGTTGGAACCTCCGAGCTTGGCCTAAGCTCGGAGGTTCCAACCTGTCACGAGCAGCTCGGAGGTTCCAACCTGTCTCGAGCACGGCCAAAGGCAATGAGTTTGGATGAATGTGAGCGAATAGAATTTAATTCATATAGTTGTTTTGAATACATGCGCATTGGGTTGGAGAAAAATTATGATTGTTATTTTGCGTCACCGCTATCGTTTTATATCGTTTTGGTTGTCGCTGTTGAGCCTTTCAAGCTGAGGTGTTGTAAATATTCACAAGGCATGATTTCAATGCAACATACCCACTGATAAAACACAATTTCCTCTCATGACATGTCATTCCACTCGTGTCGTGTAATTTCCATTCATGCCATATCCACCCTCAGAAGTTGTCACACACATGTCGTCATGGTCAAAAAACACTGCAATGGCTCGCATCATTGATGAACAATCAATATTCCACTCGACGAAACATTGCGACCAATCTGAGGGATCAGCTTTTTTTTCATGTAATTACATTGCAAAAAATGTTGGTTGCATGGCCGGGGCGAAGCCACTATGTACTGAGCTCCTGGAAATGAGTCCAGACATCATTGCTGCATGAATTTTGAACTGTGGCCCCTAAACGTGCCTCAGGTTCCAACCTGTCGTGACGGTCTAATGCAGTGGTCTTACCAGTGGCACCCAGAATGTGGATGGCACTCGCAAACCACGTCATTGGGTTCCGGCCGACATCACTGTTGGCAGTGAGAGGTTCCAACCTGTCATCACGGTCCAATGCAGTGGTCTTACCAATGGCACCCAAAATTTGGATGGCACTCGCAAACCACGTCATGGGGCGGTGAGAGGTTCCAACCTGTCATCACTGCCTCCCGCCAACGGTGGTGAATTCAATGTGTCAGCATCTGGGCCATCACCAGTGGAATGGTCAGATTTAAATTGTTGCCATTGTAACAATCGAAACACACAACACGCCGCAGATGTCTGACCATGGAATTAAAGCAATGGTGGGCCATGCCACCTGTAAACCTGCCACCTGAAACCACTTGTAATGCATTTTTGTTCAGATTTGCTGTACAGAAATGAAAAATACTTCAATGCATCACGTGCTAACTTAGCTGCAAGTTCCCATGGCCTTTTGCCTGTGAGATGTACTGCCAAAGGATCTGGCATAATCCAAGTGATCAGGTCATCATCCAGCGCATCCTTGTAGCAATCATGAAGGGTCTCGAGCCACTGATACCGCTTCCCCAGAGACTCAGCAGAGAGCTTCGGAGCCTGCCAACTTACCGCAGGGGGGGGTCGGTAAGTTGGAACCCTTTGGAGCCACAAAACTGGTGCTTGGGAGCCGTTTTGGGAACTTTGGGAGCTACAAAACTGATACAAAAATGATGAGAAACAGAGATTTTCTGGTGGAAAACTAGACAAAACAGTGGAAAAGTATCATCGTGAAAAAGATTGCTGCACAAAAGAAACTACAAAACTGGTGCTTGGGAGCCCTTTGGGAGCTACAAAATTGATTCAAAAATGGTGAGAAACAGAAATTTTCTGATGGAAAAACTGGAGAAAACAGTGGAAAAGTATCATCGTGAGCTACAAAACTGGTGCTAACCAGAGGTTTCGTGGTGGAAAAATTGAGAGAATCATGAAAGGGAATGCTTTTTTTCAGTACAAAACTGGTGCAAACATCGAGAAAACCAGCAAACTATAACCAAAATATTGAAAAATGTGCAAATACAGTGTAAAATGATAGCAAACTGTTACATATTGACTTCCTCCCTTTGAGTCGCTGCGTTCCCAAACGTTGCAGCTGGCACACATTTTATCAGCAGGATTTTGAAAACCAGTGCTGGTAGTCAACACATCTGTCTACCCTTCAGGAGTGATCATCCTGAATAACATTCATCACCATTCCAAGGCTGACCAAGACCACACAAACAATAAAATTTCAATGTGTTTTTGTGCCACCCTGTCCTCCGTGGGCTTCCATTTAGTTGGATCGGTCGTCTTCTTCACGCTTCGCGGCATAGAGTTGCAGCGCAGATGCTTCCAAATAGAGTCCTGTGCAGGGTCACCGGGGGGGAGGAGATGTTAACAGGATTCAGCCTTCAGAAACATTAGTGATTTTTGAACGCTGCAACATAAAACAGACAACAAACTTAATAACTATGATCACCCTATCACGACCAGAGTAAGAATCATATTATTGCAACATATCTAGTATGGCTTGGGATGCTATATGATGGTGTCATGTTGTATGGTATATAGCATGTGGCATGGTATATAGCATGTGGTATGGGAACTAGCAGGAGGTTGCAACCTGTCACTCACTGCTGAAAAAAACAATTTTATTATGTGTGTTTGGCCCTTCTCTGCTGAGGAGGGCCCAGTGTCACAGGATGGAACCTCTTTCCCTGAGAGGCACCACCTTTTGTTTTCAAATGATCATCTTCGCATTTTTTTCCAGATTTGCGGCCCTTTTTGGCCACCTTCTCTCCTCCAAATCAATAAAAAAATCAGAGTTATCATGTGTGTTTGGCACTCCCCCCTGCTGAGGAAGGCCCAGTGTCACAAGATGGAACCTCTTTCAGAGGCACCACCTTTTTTCAATTGATCACCCCTGTTTTTTTCAAATTTGTAGCCCTTTTTGGCCACTGTTTTCCCAAATCAACTAGCCAACCTGTCACTGCTGAAAAAATCATTCCCCCTTGCCGAGGAGGACCCGGTGGAAAAAATGAGACCCTGCAAAGAAAGTTGTATTCAAATCATCAATCATCAAGGTTGTTTTTTTGAAAATTTGCTTTCAAATGGTTTAGTTGTTTTCAAGCTCATTTTCAAGCTCAACAGCGGGAGGTTCCAACCTGTCACCGCAAAATAATCAAAGTTGTCATGTGTGTTTGGCCCTCTCCCCTGCCGAGGAGGGCCCAAATGAGACCTGCTTCTCTCTTTGAGAGGCCCACTTGCATGGAAATAAAGAATCATCCGGGTTGTTTTTTGAAAATCCAACCTGTCATTGCAAAATAATCAAAGTACACATGCGTGATTTAAATGTCCGTCCTGCCTCCCCCCCGGCTGGCTCTGGCATTCATGCAAAACCAAATCAAGTAATGATTTCAAAATCAACTGGTGCAACCAAAATCAGACCATACTCTCACAATCAAGTCCCAAAAATCATTACTGTTGTTCAGAAAAGAATTATGGAAATTGATTTCATGATTCCCTTTCTCACTCAGAACTTCCCTCAAAAAGTGACTATCTCAAAATCCATCATGATTGATTGGTTCATACTTTATGATAAAATTAAAACACCATCATGTCCCCAATCACACAGAGCCCATCCCATCAGCCCTGTCCCACCAGCTTACCATCCAAATCCTCCCAGGTTAAAGAACCAGGCATGAGAAACCAGCCTGCCACACAAATAAAATGAAGTACTAGCCTGCCAATACTTTGAGCCATCATGATTTGAGCCATCATAACTTGAGCCATGGGCGATGCCCTTAAATTATATAACTTATTTTTTTCTTCGCATTGGTCGTGCTAAGACTTGAGCCAGGGCAAAATTACTTACCCCTTCCCATTTTTCTTCTTTCAGTGCGCGGTTGGTCAGTCAAATTTGAGCCAAATCATGGCCAGCATAGATGTCAGAACCGAATTTATGTCAGACTACAGGATTTGAAAAACAAACAGGAAAGCAGCCAAAACAGGGCACATATAGGGCACATAGTTAACAACAGCAAGTCGGCGTCGGCCTCCGCGTTGGCGGCGTCGGCAGCGGCGTCGGCGTCGGCGTCAGGATCGGCGTCGTCTTCGACGGCAGCGGCGTCGGCGGCGTCGTCGGCGTCGGCGACGGCGGCGGCCGTCGACGTCGTCGCCGTCGTCGTCATCGTCATCACCTTCACCGCCACCGTCATCGTCATCATCATCATCATCATCATCGTCATCATCATCATCATCAGATAGGATAGGATAAATTTTCGGGTTGGTGGCAGAGCTCCCTCACGCGACTCCTACACGGATACCTCAGTCTGCCGTTTTTGAGGAAAGAAACTTATTTCTGTCTGCATGCGCATCCCTTCCCTCAACATAACATGGAAAAAAACATCTGCTCTTTCCAAGTTTCGCAGCCTGCAGAACTTGGCGCACCTGTCCCATACTTGCAGGCACATCCCACCCAGTATAGAATCAGCGTCAAGAGTCCAACACAATACCATACAAACATCTCATGCCAGGCAATAGATAGATCAGCTATCCAACGGGGCGAAACCTTGCTGGCACTGAATGGATTGGCATTACATCAATCGGGCATCTTCCTACCTTCAAAGAACATCATGGCTAGTCCCTCCCCACAACCTTGGAGTTGGAAAGTCGGCTGTTCAGGCTTGACGTCCTAGCAGAATGATGTGACCACAGAAGGGCCTCTGGTTTGGAGATGCTAAGTTGAGCACATCAGTCATTACTGCCCAGCTGCTCAGCTAATCAGAAACATTCCCACATGATGATTGAAAGTAAGCCCATAGCCAGGGCCGTTGCCATGTTGCAAGCGCTTTTGTAAAATCGCAAACTTTGCTACACAATCCCCCCCATCACATGCAGTTGCCTTTCAGGACCAACACACACACATATATATATATATATATATTATATATATTATATATATTATATATATATATATATATACGCATCCTTCATTCGCAGTTGCATGCGTCGTTGCAGCTGATGCATCTATCTAGATAAAGGTGTAGATATCTATATCTATATATATATATATATAAATATATTATCTGAATGGACTCCGGTCCTATGTTTCAACGTGTAGCACTCAAAGTTCCGCAGGTTAACCAGTTCACTCACAGTCAATCGGCGGCGCAGCTCTCAAGATCCTTTTGCGTCTGATCAGCGAATGTCTCGCGGTGTTGGAGCCGCGTGATCCACGGCTTGAGCCAGTCAGCGGGAACAAAAGGCAGAATGAGTGGGACCCGCTGATGGCATGTTAGAGACAACTGCTGTACACCTATTTGGGTAACACCTGGTCTACATTACATTCTCACCCCCCCCACGTCCAACTCACTGTGCGTGTTGGACGCCGGAGCATGCCAGGGTTTATGCCCATGAATTAAAGATTGCAAATGGTACTTAGATGAACCCTGTGCCTGCTAAGTACTTAGCAAGGTTAGCAAGGTTACCAAGTCCTTAGCTAAGTACTTATAACTTCAAAAAAATGATGAACATGTTCATGGAAAAACAAGTTTCCAATGGCTTTCATTTTTGGCTCTGGAATGTTTTTTTCAAAAAATGGATGTTCCTTATTCAAGCTTCGCATGGAAATTCACAAGTTGTTGTTGGAGCATTTTATATATATATTTTTTTTATATTTATATATATAGTTTGCATGTCAAACAAAAGCCATCTAAAGCTTGCAAAGTCAAAAGCCATGCAGGCTTAGAAGCCAAAGCCACAGAAAGCAGAGGCTTGCAACAGCAAGGAACAAAAGCCCAAAACTGGTGGTGTCCTGTTGCTTGTCTGGTGCATAAGCCCACCAATCTTGCTTTCTAGGGTCCTGTCTAAAGGGCTAGGCCTGGAATTGTTGCTCCGGACAGCAGAATAAAAGCCATGCAGGCTTGTGACAAAAGCCACATATAGGCTTGAAGCAAAAACCATTGAGAGTTAATTTGCAAGCAAGAGCCAACGAGGCTTCCAACCAAAAGCCAAAAAGGCTTGCAACAAAAAGCCAGCTTCAAGTGTTTTTGACAGCAGAGACAATAGTTTCACTTCTTTGGTCCTGAGCAACAGTCCAAAGCACTGAGCAATTTGTTCTTGGTTTCAGGAGTCAGA